CTTCCCTCTAGTCTTACTATGACTAAATAGGGACGGCTAGCGCAGATAGCCCTCGTGTAGCTTTGCGCGAAATTCAAAAACAAACATTACAGCAGTAATGCATTACAGCAGTAGTATCTGTTTTTAGGTGTGACCAACTGTTTGTTAAATAATGCGTAAAAAAAGAGCGAAATATGTCGAGATTTATTAATTTTATATACCTATTTATATATGTAAGCTCTGGCTTTGAATAATTTGCTCAAACAACATTTTTATTATGCAATTTATAAAACAGTAATATAAAAACGATTTAAAGGTATAATGTCACGTTAAAAAAAACAACAAGATGCCCCTTTATTTACGTGACGAGCTTCTCACGTCAACTGTGAACAGCATGCATAAAACGTTATTGAATACTGAAAGTCGACTATTTATCAGTATTCAAGATACATTATGGAGAATAAGCGTTCAAGAGAATATGCCACATTTTTTATTTGTCTATTTATTTTTTTATACATGCTGTCGGCCATTTTCTTTAGGCTTAGCTCTCTTGTTTTTTGTTTACAATCGCTTACGTTAAAGTGTGAAATAATGTGGTCTTAAAGCATGGTGAATATAAATATTTTTAACTTCGTTGTTCTTTCGACATAAGTGCCAGAAAGTTGAGGTTACAGTTTTGATTTCAACTTTAGGTAAACGTGATTAGTTCATTCAGTACACTGAGACAACGGAATTATTTTTTTAAAACATATGTTAAAGGTTCTCTGTAATTAGTGAAGAGTGTTTTATTTTTTATATTAAAATTTATAGACAACTTTAAAAACAAAATCCACAGTTTTAATACAACTTTTCTTTTAATTAAATTTTTCCATATTTACCTTTTTTTAAATACAAGAATAGCAGTATTTAATTGCATGTAATGTTGCCCGGCATGGCCAGGTGGTTAGGGCGCTCGACTCGAAATCTGAGCCGTGGGGACGTTTTAATGTGACGGTCAATCCCACTATTCGTTGGTAAAAGAGTAGCCCAAGAGTTGGTGGTGGGTGATGATGACTAGCTGCCTTTTCTCTAGTCTTACACTGCTAAGTT